TATCACTGAGGTGCTGATCGACTGGATCCGCGAGGCTCGTCCCCAGCTCAGGAGGAGCTTCGGCTCGGACTTTCCTGTTCTGCGTCTGCACTCTGACCGCGGTGGGGAGTTCTCCTCTCGCCTTCTGCGAGCCTACTGTCGTGCAGAGGGGATCCGCCAGACCTTTACGCTTCCGGACTCTCCACAGCAAAATGGGATTGCTGAGCGCCGCATTGGCATGGTCATGGATGTCGCTCGTACGTCCATGATGCATGCGGCTGCCCCCCACTTTCTGTGGCCGTTTGCGGTTTGGTACGCGGCGCATCAGCTCAACCTTCACCCCAGGGTCTCTCGGCCCGCGATGTCCCCAGTGTTACTGTGGACGGGGAAGGTCGGCGATGCGTCTGCGTTCCGTGTCTGGGGATCTCGGGCGTTTGTCCGCGACTTGTCTGCGGACAAGCTGTCCCCCCGTGCTGCTCCATGTGTCTTCCTTGGCTTCCCCCCTGACGCTCCAGGGTGGCAGTTCTACCACCCCTCCTCTCGTCGTGTTCTGTCCTCCCAGGACGTCACGTTCGACGAGTCAGTCCCCTTCTACCGCCTCTTCCCCTACCGTACTCCTTCCCTCCCCCCCCCACCGGACTTCCTGGTACCAGTTCCCCCCCCGGTAGACCCCCTCCCCCCTCAGGTTCCTGCCCCTTCAGGTGTGTCCCAGGTAGACACGGTCGGGCCAGTCGAGGTTGCTGCTGAGTCTGGTCCTGCTGCGGGTGCTGAGCCGGAGGGTGCTCCGTCAGGAGCTACTGAGCCTGGGGGTGCTGGGCCTGGAGGTGCGGAGCCTGCGCCTGCTGGACCTGGGGGCTCTCCGGTTCTTCAGTCTCGGCGGGAGCCGCTCTCTCCACAGGAGCTGCGCGAGTGGTTTGCTCGCCGCTGGAGGCGTGCTGCTGGAGGTGGAGCTTCTTCGCCTGCTGAGGGTGCTGGTGCTGTCGGTCCCGGAGCTGCTGGGCCTGCGGGTCCTACTGGAGCTGGAGCTACTGAGTCTGGGGGTGCTGAGTCTGGAGCTGCTGAGCCTGGAGGTGCTGAGTCTGGAGCTGCTGAGCCTGGGGGTGCTACGTCTGGAGCTGCTGTGCCTGGGGGTGCTGAGTCTGGAGCTGCTGAGCCTGGGGTTTCTCCTGCTGCTGCGTCTCGCCGGGAGCCCCTCTCTCCACAGGAGCTGCGCGAGTGGTTTGCTCGCCGCTGGAGGAGTGCTGCTGGAGCTGGAGCTTCGTCGACCGTCGAGGGTGCTGGTGCTGCCGGTCCCGGAGCTGCTGGGCCTGCGGGTCCTACTGGAGCTGGAGCTGCTGAGGGTGTTGGTGCTGAGACTACTGCTGTCTGTCCTGGCGGTGGTTCTGCTGCTGGTGCTGCTGGAGGTCCTGCCGCTGGAGGTGTTGGTGGCGCTGGTGCTGTCGCTGAGGGTGCTGGTGCTGTCCCTGCTGAGTCTGGAGCTGCCGCGCGGCCTCGGCCGTACTTCGTTCCGCTCCTACAGCAGGTTCTTGGTCTTTCTCCTTCAGTAGAGTGTCCACAGCCTGTCCAGTCGCAGTCACTGTTGGAGCCTTCCTCTCCTCTGCCTGCTCCCTCTCCTTACACTGGTCCTACTAGAGGTCTTGCTGAGCGTCGTGAGCCTGCGTCTCGTCCCGCGTCGCCTGTTCGTGCTGCTCGCGCTAGTGGTCGCGGCTCGCGTCGGCGTCCTCCTCCTGTCCCTGGCACGCACCGGATGTCTCTGCGTCCGTCCACTGCTCCTCTGCGTGCCCCTTTGCCTTCTCCTCCTGAGTCCTCTCTTCCTGCGCTTGCCGACCCTGAGTCGGACTCTCTTCGTGCTGCCAGTCCTACTGTCACGCGTCTGCTTGCTACTGTCGTCGCTGACCCCTCTTTTGAGTCCACTGCTGCGTCTGCTCTTGTCGCTGAGCTCGTCGACTTTGCTGCTCGCTGTCGTCTAGACTACGCTGCTGGTCTTGTTGCTGAGTCTGCGTCTGTCTGTCCTCCGTCCGTCGGGGGTGAGTGTGCTCTTGGCACGGACGTCCTAGAGGACAGGCAGGAGGAGTTACAGTGTCTGGCTGCTTCTTCACCTCATCTCGCGTCTGTACTGCTTGCTCCTGAGGGAGACCCGGATGCACTAGACATCCCGACTCCGCGCTCTTACGCGGAGGCCGTAGAGGGTCCCTACTCCTCTCAGTGGCAGGCAGCTATGGATGCAGAGATGGCTTCCTGGAAGTCCACAGGCACCTACGTTGACGCAGTTCCCCCTCCTGGGGCGAACATCGTCAGTGGCATGTGGATCTTCCGGGTGAAGCGGCCGCCGGGCTCTCCACCTGTCTTCAAGGCGCGGTACGTTGCTCGTGGCTTCAGTCAGCGGCAGGGAGTTGACTACTTTCAGACCTTCTCTCCCACCCCGAAGATGACCACTCTTCGGGTGCTGCTGCACATAGCCGCTCAACGCGACTACGAGCTTCACTCTCTCGACTTCAGCACTGCGTTCCTGCAGGGTAGCCTGCACGAGGAGATCTGGCTGCGCCGTCCACCTGGCTTCACTGGGACTTTCCCTCCTGGCACCCAGTGGAGCCTCCGACGGCCAGTCTACGGTCTCCGCCAGGCACCGCGTGAGTGGCACGACACACTGAGGACTACGCTTGCGGCTCTTGGGTTTGCTCCGTCTACTGCTGACCCGTCGCTGTTTCTGCGCACCGACACTTCACTGCCGGCGTTCTACATCCTCGTGTACGTCAACGACTTGGTCTTTGCCACAGCGGACACTGCTGGACTCGCCTACGTGAAGTCCGAGCTGCTGAAGAGACACACGTGCACAGACCTGGGTGAACTGCGCAGCTACCTTGGCTTGCAGATCACTCGGGACAGAGCACGCCGCACCATCATCTGACTCAGTCACACATGGTGCAGCAGGTCCTTCAGCGCTTCGGCTTCACGTACTCCTCGCCTCAGGCCACTCCTCTGTCTACTCGCCACTCGCTCTCAGCTCTGCCTTCGGATGAGTCCGTAGAGTCGAGTGGCCCGTACCCAGAGCTTGTTGGCTGCCTCATGTACCTGATGACCTGCACTCGACCTGACCTTGCATACCCTCTGAGCATTCTTGCACGCTATGTTGCTCCTGGGAGACACCGACCAGAGCACATGGCTGCAGCGAAGAGGGTATTGCGCTACCTGTGCAGTACGTCGGGCATGGGGCTAGTGCTTGGAGGGCGGGGTCCAGTGGTCCTTACAGGCCACGCGGACGCTTCTTGGGCTGACGACCAGGCTACGCAGCGGTCGTCACAGGGTTACACCTTCAGTCTTGGTTCCGGCTCTGTCTCGTGGCGGTCTACTCGTTCGTCTTCGGTTCTCAGCTCCAGTTGTGAGGCTGAGATCTACGCCGGGGCCATGGCTGCACAGGAGCTTCGCTGGCTCACCTACCTGCTGACTGACCTTGGAGAGCCGCCTCGTTCTCCTCCAGTGCTGTACGTAGACAACAAGGCCATGCTGGCCTTGTGTCGAGAGCAGCGCTTGGAGCACAGAACGAAGCACATTGCTCTCCGCTACTTCCTTGCTCGTGAGCTGCAGCAGCGTGGTCAGTTGCGACTTGCGTACGTGGCCTCTGAGGCCAACACTGCTGATGTGTTCACCAAGGCACTCGCGCCTTGTGACCATCAGCGCTTCTGCACCCAGCTGGGTCTTGTGCCTGTCTTGCCTCACTTGCTCTCCTCTTGAGTTTACTTGTACTGTGACATATATATACCTGCTCTTGCTTGTCTAGTCTTCTATATATGTCTGTACTCTTGCTTGTGAACTGGCCTGTGGCCCTGCTCTTGTGCTCGGACTGTGTGGTGACTTTGTGATCCACCCTGAGCTTGCTTTGCTTTGCTTTGCTTGACTGGTCTTGTGACCCCTTGTTCTCCCCCACTTTGCCTATGGGGGTGTGTCAGATTACTATAGCTGATGCATGTTTGTAGGCTATAGTGGGGTAGCACATATGGGGTACAGCTTTCTAGGGTTGTATTTGTACCCAACCCTGACTTAGTCATTTCATTCCTGTTTGCTTATTTTCACAAACTGGGCCCTAGCTCTCCACGGATGCACCATGGGCGCATCAGTCGTGCGTCGGTTTGCCAGGAGAGGAGGGTTCCGGGAACGCACATTCAGTTCCCGAACCTGGGGCCAAAAAGGGTGTTCGGCTGCCATCATGCACCAGTTCGCTTCGGTGCTCATGCGCCTATCCCAGCCCCGAGTCAGCAGATCCCAGACCCGAGTCAACACTTGTCCGCTTCTCTCAGAAGCTTCTAGGGAGCACAATTTACTGTAGCTGGTACCCGAGCCTGTGCCTGATGCGCCAGTCGAACAGGGCCAAAACCACCACCGCACAGAACAGTCGCATCAGGCGAGGAACAGTACACTCAGGCAGGGAACGAAGCGGATGAGCCAAGAAAACAATGGAAGAAGCCATGCGACAATGGAAGAAAACATGTAACACACTCGGCGAGAGCCAGACTTCGCATGTCTTCCCCACCTTTTCCTCCCAAGTTCATTGACGGTCCCGCAAGTCGTACGAGATCACGCTGACGAGATGAGACTGACCCAGCCGAGAGGAAGCACTCGTGTGGGCTGCCAACGGTGACGTTACCGTCCCGTTCGTCCTTGTCAAATCTGCACTCTCCCTCGTCTCCTTCCTGCTTCATCGTCTCTCGTTCTCAGCCGACGCTGCCATGGCTCGCACCGCGAAAACCGTCGCCCTCCCACCATGCCTCTCAGGGCAACGGGGACGGGACCGTCATATAGGGCAAGAACGTCGGCGAGATGCGCCGCTCGACTCACACGCTTTTAATCATTCTTGCGAAACCAGACGCTATGAGTGGTAACCATTCATGACCATTCGAGACGCCAATCGCAGAAGCCTATCGAAGAGCTGACGCGTAACAAACACCGCGGTCCGGAACTGACGCCTATCAGTCACACGAACTGAGAGCTTGCTCGCTAGAGTCACTCAAAAAGATACGGCGATCATGACGAGCCGTCGCCGTGACGTGCGGCACTGCCCGACTTTCCCGCTATGCATCCTTATCCTTTTCCACGTGGCCTCCACGTGTCGTGCGTGTCTTCCGCCTATGTTCTCGGCAGCAGCAGACGGCTCCCCGCCAAACCCTAATTGGGATGTCGACTTCGACTGGCTGAGTAACGAGAACCAAATCGCCATGACGCGATTCGCCGTGGCGCAGCACAACGCCGCCAAGGTGAGCCTCGCCTCGCCTCGCCTTGATTCGCTCCAAGTGCAAGAGTACTCTCTTGGGCAACAGGTGTTAAGCGACGGGCGACGGGCGACACTCTATGTTCCCAAGAGCACTTTGCTGCTTTGCTTCTCGTCCCCACTGTCGCGTATTCTCTCTCCCACATCCCCACTGTAGCACAGTCACTCCTTTCTGTTCATTCTTGAACGCTTCCCCCTTTTCTTCTCCCCTTCTCCCCGTCTTCCCGTCTCCCGCGTCTTCCCGTCTCCCGCGTCTTCCCGTCTCCCGCTTCTCCACGCCAGAACGACAGCCTACAGCCAGTCAGAGTTCTCGATGTGGACCGCCCGAGCGCAGGCAATGCCAGCGCGGGCGGGGAGGAGTACCTTGTGTCACTGGCGGCTCTCAACCTGCTGCGCGGCCGCACTGCCTTATTCGACGCCCTCCTCTCCCGCCGCCCTCTCGTGGCCGCGCAATCCGCAACCCCTGCTGCTGCCCTTCCATTAACAGCAACAGCAACAACAGCTGAAAATGGAGGAGGAGAGGGAGGAGCGGAGGGATGGGAGTACACGTTGAGGTCGTGGGGGCAGGTAGGGTGGGGACATGCGAGCACGCGGGAGGAGCAGGAGGCGGCGCTCAGGCACGTGGTGCCGGTGAACCCCCTTCCGTGTGGCGACCTGTTGACTTTCGTTGACTCCTCAGATGTGGATGTGCAGCGCGTGGCACGAGAAGCGGTGGCGAGTGCGAATGAGAGACAGGTGAGCGGTGGGAAGGGATAATATCCCCCTTTCACATGAGCCACTATGCCCATGCTCAGACCCATTCTCAGACCCATGCTCAGACCCATGCTCAGACCCATGCTCAGACCCATGCCCATGCCCATGCTTAGGCCCAGTAACACTGCCTTCTTCCTTCCTTGCCATCTCTCCACCCTTCTTCCCCCCACAGGGCAGCGCGCTGCTGCTGAAGTCGGTGCTGGAGGCACAGTTGGTGATACCGGGATTCAGAGAGTACACGCTCACACTGTTGCTGCTGGCTTCCTTCCTTGCCTTCCCCCCCACAGGGCACAGCATTGCTGCTGATCTCGGTGCTGGAGGCACAGGTGGTGATACCTGGGTTCAGAGAGTACACGCTCACACTGCTTGCTTCCCCCCTTGCCCCCCCCCCCCCCCTCCCTCCCCCCCCCCGCCAACCACCGCAGGGCAGTGCGCTGCTGCTAATTTCCGTGCTGGAGGCACAGTTGATGATACCCGGGTTCAGAGAATACACGCTCACACTGCTGGCAGCAGATAACACCACCCGCATGGCGGCACACTATGCCACGCACGCACTGGATCTAGGGCTGACGAACAACAGTGACGCCACGCCTGAAACGTCACAGGGGGGGAACGCGAGTGGGAGGAGTTTGGTGAATGTGACGTGGTTTGCGGTGGTGGCGGGGACGCAGCGGAATGCAACAGCGGGGGAGATGGGCGTGGCGGCAGCAGGGGGGTGCGCCGGGCGGAATGCGAGCAGCAGCAGCGCTGCTGGTGGTGGCGGCAGTATGTTTAACAGCAGCAGCAGCAACAGCATCAGCAGCAGTGGCATTTTGGAGTGGGACTTGGCACGGGCCATGGCAGGGGTGTGTGTGGATGAGGGGTGGGTGCTCATCCCCGCTGCCGCCAGTGTTGACAATTCAACGACTCCCTCTGCCTCCTATAGTGTCTCCTCCAATGCCTCCTTTAGTGCTTCCTCCAATGCCTCCACTGCTGCTCCCTACACGGACACCTACAATGGCTTCTCCATGCGCTCCCTCGCTCTCTTTGCCCTGAACCAACTCATCAACCAGAGCAGCCTCCCCTCGAATTTGACTCTACTGGATGTGCTTGCAGCGAGGGCGAATGTGGTGGAGGGAGCAGGGATCAACTACAGCGTGACTGTAACAGCCGCGGTGGATGCAGCGTCAGCAGCTGGAGCAACGGTGCCTACAACAACAACGGTACCTACAACTACAATATTTGCAGCAACGGCACCTACTACAACAACACCTCCGGTGCTGCTGAATGCACCTTCAACCAAAGCCAAGGCAGCAGAGGAGGAGGCAGGGAAGCAAGTGGTGGTGCTGAAGCTGCTGGTGTGGCAGCCGGTGCCCTTCACTGCTTTCCGCCTGGTTGACTTTTTCCTGCTGGATGGGGGAGGTGGTGAGGGGGAGAGTGGGAAGCAAAAGCAGGAGGGCGTGTTGCTCGTTGACTGTGCTTCCCCACCCCCAGGTCACATCCTCCTTGGGAACTGCACGACAGTGCCTAAGGCTGGCTATTCTTTTGTAGTTGCCGCAATAGGGTTTGTAACATTGCTTCGTGTGCTTGTCTCGCTGGGCCTTGTTCTGGCCCTCCTGTAGAGGCTGTACGGTAGCTAGTGCCTTGCCTGCCATGTTAGTTGCCTTGCGTTGCCTTGTAATGTGGTTCCACGTGCTTGTCTCGGTGAGCCTTGTGCTGGCTCTCCTGTAGATATGGTTGCCTTGCGTTGCATTTATGGAACGGATCCCATGATAAGGTAAATGTGCACTCATACAAGCTACAGCCGAGCCGATCATTTCTGGGGAGCGTGAGAGAGTGGGGCTCTCGAGGCTTACGAGTTTGTGTTCCGCTGGTGTTTCTTCTTCACATATACCGTAGTGATGTACCGTATGGGTGGGTGAGCTGATCTCCCCGCACAGCTGGACGATGGCGGAAGTTGAATGCACAGACGAGCGAGTTCGAGTAGGAAGTACCAGTAATTGCGAAGCACAGCGAGGGGGGGACAACAATGGCAAGTACCCTAGAACTAACAAAACACAACTTTAACACTAGCATCAATACGAAGTATGCAGAAAAAAACATCATTAAATATTTATCAACCTTCACCAACTCCCCTGTTTTACTGTGCTCAGCTGACAGCAGAGCAGCAGTACCACGTATGCCCACCATTGCCATCCCCACTGCTAGCACACACTGCCATCCCATCGCCATGGGTTTAGTAGCATGCACCACACATGAGCACACCACCCCTACTGTCACACCATTACTACCACCACCCTTAAGGCACAGCACCCTTCCTGCTCGTCCCTGCACACGCCTCCCTCACACATCAGCCCTGTGAACCTCGGTTCCAGCACTCACTGTCTCACCCACCCTGCTCCCTTTCTTCCCTCAAGCATGAATATCCTCAGAGGGTTCAAAGAAACACCCATGGTGTGATCCGATCATCCTGCCAGTACCATGCCCTCACCCATGGCATGGGAAAGAGCGTGACCTCATCCCATGCTATTGCCGTGACACGAGATGCAACCAGATTGCACCACTCCTCCCCCTCCCCCTACCAGCGGTATGACTGATTAATAACGCTGAACGATGCCAAGGAAGGGAACTGCCTGCTAAGAGAAGCCACTTGTACGTGGCAACAAAGATAGTCTCCAGGCTCGGAGAATTGATGAACGGGCTGCTGCTGCTGCTGCCACCACCGCCGCCGCCGCCGCTGCCGCCGCTGCTGCTGCCGCTCCCGCTGCCGCTGCTCTCTCCGCTGCTGCTGCCGCTCCCGCTGCCGCTGCTCTCTCCTTCCCCACCGAAGCACTTCAAGAAGTAATAATCGTGCGCGCTGTCCATTTGCGCTGTGTATCCAAACCCCCCAGTGCTGAATCGGTTCACACCAATGGCAAGGCGGTGCAGGCGGCTCCACTCCACGTGCACGTTCTGCAGAGGCCAGTCGTGCCTCACTATAAGCCTCTCCACTGTAGGCGCTATGCTGCTGAGCAGCTGGGTCAAGGCAAGCTTAGAGTCGAGATTTTGGGTGGCTTGAGCGTTCACATGGACAGTTTTGGCAGACGCCAATGGGAGCGACAAAATATTGAGCTGCATGCGGCCACTGAGAGAGAAAGAGTCGAGAGAGAGGGGGCTTTCGCATGTGCAGTCGACGTTAAGAGAATGCGCAGAGGCAGAAAAGGACTTCAAAGAAGGAGGGAGGGCGAAGTGAAGGTTCACCGCTTGCCTCTCAAAGCAAACTGTAATAGCTCGAGCAGCGGTGAACTTGAATCTAAGGATGCTATAACCAATGCTGGAGGAGGAGAGAGCGAATTCATGCAGCTGTGGTGAGATGGATGAGAGAAAGGACAGGTCCCTTCTGTTGGACTCCAAAAGGTGGACTTTCAGAATCCTTCAAGCCTGGAACGTTGCTGGGTTGAGGTTGCCCAGGAGCCAACTCCCAAGGCGTAGCTCCAGCTGCTGCAGCAGCTGAAACTCCCCGAGAAAGGCCGGATCCAGCAAAGGCCCGGGAGAGTCCCACACGTCAAGGCACAGGCCTGTGAGGGAGAGAGTGGCCGGCTCCAAAAGACGGGCGAGGCTGGGTAGGTCGTCGGAGGATTGGAGCTGGAGATTGAGGGATGTGTGAGCGGCGTTTGTGAGGAAAAAGGAGAGCATTCCTGCCAGCCGGGGCTGGTGAGTGTTCACTAGGAGCGGGATGGGCTCGTGCTCCTGCACATACAGAGATGTGAGAGGAGATTAGCCATGAGGTTAGCCGTGAGCTTAGCCGAATTCGCAGAGATAGTAGAGCTGAGCTCAGCACCCAGAGAAGAAATCGCGATGCGGTGAGATGAGCTGTAGCAGAGATGGTTGTGCGTTGCATGCAATGCAGAAAGAGAGAGTGCATCGTGACTCGCACGGAGAAGGAGATGGCACCATGATGGTGGTGAAGAGGCACGTGGGTGGAATGGAATGAGGGGAGCAGCACATGATGATGATGACGCACGGAGAAGGAGATGACATGGCGGTAAAGAAGCAGGTGGGCGAAGGGGAAAGGGGGAAGGGGGAAGGGAGAAGGGAGCAGCACATGATGATGACTCACACAGAAGGAGATGACATGACGGAAGAGCCTCGTGCTGGCCATGCCACAGCACAGCACAGGCCAGGAGGAGCCGAATCGCCTCGAGTTCTCCTCATACGAGTCGCTGCCTCCCCCCCACTGCCATGCGCCCCAGGAGTCACCCCGCTTCTTCAGCAGGTGGCGGAAGATGATGTGCCAGATGGGGCCGGGCAGCAGATCAACCACGTCCACGCCCTGATGGGTGGGGAGAGAGAAGAAATAAAGATGAGGGAGGAATCGAGGGAGTATTAGAGGTGTGATGAGAAACCAGAAAATCAGATGCACTGTGGGGCAACACTCTCACCTCATGATTCTGGGCATCAGAGAGTGCTGTGAGCTTGAGAGCATGCATCCTCCCCAGAACCTCGATCGTATGTTGGCTAGCCATGGCCGTCGACAAAAGGTGTTTAAGACAAATCTCCCCGCAAGCTCCTAGGATTGAAGTCGCTGCCAGTGGCGTTGAGGTGCGTTCGCTGATAACAGTCAGATGAACGACTCTCTGGTATTACAAGTATTCTGGTCATCCTATACACGCATCTCGCCGTGCTCGTACACTCGTGAATCCCTCAACAGTCGTCACATCAGCGATGGCGAGAGCAACACATTCGACCCATCGGGGCCATTCGTATGCTCATCGTTCAATCGAACCCGTTGGAGCGCGACACGGAGAACAGGGGAGGCCGCGGCGGAGGAAGGCGTGGAAGGGAGAGCGGTGCGGTGAGCTCTCACCTGGTTTCGGACCAGCGGCAGCAGAAACTGTGTCATTCGTCATGCTTCGGTCGTTACAACCATCACTACTACGCGTCGAGATTACCGGTCGTGTCGGGTTTTTTAGCTGCCGAAGTGATACATGCATGCATGGCAAGGCTTTCAGGACGGCCATGCACTTTTTCGTCCTAGCTGGCTGGGCTCGTTTTGCGAAGGCACGCGTCGGGAAAAAATCTCACGAGTCTTCAAGCTACACACTTACAATACCTCCTCCTCATAAGTCCTGAAGTTGTAGGGCCGCATATACCTATTTGCAGGTGTTTCGATATTCGCAAATCGAAATCGGTGGCTGAAATTTGGCCTCACTCCGATTATCATTGTATAATATGTACTATGGCATGTTGTAGGATGAAATATCCACAATAAGCCGCATCTGAACAAACGAGAAGGTTCTGTTTGCTTACCGCACCACAGAATCAACACGAGTTTGTGTTCCATCAGTGCATAGAAAAGGTAGTCCTTGTGCGTCTACCTACGGTAATACCGTAATAATTCAGGATTCCAGGTTCAACTCCGAGTGCAATTGATTGGGCTAATCTAGTTGAAAAGCTTCTCTTCCACATCCTGCCATCACGGAATACAGCATATGCCCCAGCCCCACCCACTGGTTGATACTGAGTTCAGCAGCAGATAAATCAAGACGGAGGTGTGTTTGTACAGTCGCACAGGGTGCTAAGTCAGTGTTGCTTGCAATGGCACAAGAATACCACTTGCACACATCTGAGCTTACGTGAACAGCAACCAGCGAGTGTTTTGCTGAATTTACATAAATGAAGACACATGTTAACTGAGGGGACACGACCTGAGGCAGGGGGAAAGAGGGAATAAGGGAAGGTCTGACAGGGATGGTAAGAATGGCTGCGTTGGTGGGTGAGGAGGGAGGGAGGGAGACTGTTAGAGTGAGACAATGGAGGTGATAGGGTCTTGTTTCGTGCGTGACACGAACAAACAAGAGCTAGGGCACCCATAGGCACCAGATCCTTCACAAGCATCATAAATTGCACTGTTACCTGCAATGCAGCATGCACACACATGCACCAGCACTGTCCATGCACCAGCCCATGCCGACAATATTGCCACCACTACCATACGCATACGGCAGCCTTCCTGCTCCTCCCTACACACACGTCCTTCACAGGTACCGTAACTCACCCACCTGTGTAACTTTTGAGGGCCCCCGAAAGCTAACTTACCCACCTGTGTCACTTGTCTTTGTTCATTCACTCACTCAACCAGTCGTATAGTATCAAATATCTCAAAACATGAAGGAGTTCAGAGGAATTACTTTTGAGAATTCTAATCCATGAACATCTCAAAGGTGGTTTAAACATGAAGCAGCTCCGAGGAATTGAATGAACTTCCTCATGCATGCCCTCCCCTGGCTCAGGGTACATGCAATCTAATCTGGCCTCACCTGCACTGCTGCCTCACCTGCACTGCTGCCTCACCTGCACTGCTGCCTCACCTGCACTGCTGCCTCACCTGCACTGCTGCCTCACCTGCACTGCTGCCTCACCTGCACTGCTGCCTCACCTGCACTGCTGACTCACCTGCACTGCTGCCTCACCTGCACTGCTGCCTCACCTGCACTGCTGCCTCATTGCTCCGCTTCTCCTGCTGCCTGCAAAAGTGTTACCTCAGCCACGTCCTTCTCTTCCTCCCTCGCCATCCACACCGCACCATCGGTTCCCCGTTTTGCTCTGCTCGATTGGTGGAGCACCAGCAGTGTGCTCTGGCAGCGGCAGCAGCAGCGCCAGAGCAGCAGCGCCAGAGCAGCAGCGCCAGAGCAGCAGCAACAGAGCAGCAGCAACAGAGCAGCAGCAACAGAGCAGCAGCAACAGAGCAGCAGCAACAGAGCAGCAGCAACAGAGCAGCAGCGAGCAGCAGCAACAGAGCAGCAGCAACAGAGCAGCAGCAACAGAGCAGCAGCAACAGAGCAGCGGCGCCAGAGCAGCAGCAACAGAGCAGCAGCAACAGAGCAGCAGCAACAGAGCAGCAGCAACAGAGCAGCAGCAACAGAGCAGCAGCAACAGAGCAGCAGCGAGCAGCAGCAACAGAGCAGCAGCAACAGAGCAGCAGCAACAGAGCAGCAGCAACAGAGCAGCAGCAAGCAACAGAGCAGCAGCAACAGAGCAGCAGCAACAGATCAGAAGCAACAGAGCAGTAGAGCCAGGCAGCACCATCCTCATGACACTTCATGTCAAGTGATCAGCAGCTCCGTCAGCAGAATGATGATCAGTTGCCACAGCTATACAAGACAAGCACCACACATGCCCACCTTTGCCACCCCACCGCTAGTACCCATCGCTATCCCATCGGCATCGCATCACCATCCCATCGTCATCCCATCGCCACCACTTTCATCGCCAACTCTTCAAAATGCATAACTAGGTTCCACCCATTCACAAACTCAGCTTCTCTTCTTACTTCTCTCAATCACATACGTGAATTGGAACTCAAGATAATGCATCATGTCCGCATCATCATCATCATCCTCCGTGCCCCACACCATCATTTCAGGCTCTTTGCTCCACCTCTCCCCCTCTCCCTCCCCCTCATAGTGAAACGACCGACCACCACCAATGCGGTACCATCTGAGGGAAGGAAACTGCCTGCCCAGCGTTGCCAGGGTTTTCGCATGCCACTGCCGGGTTGCAGCAAACAGAATCTTCTGCAGTTTTGGAGCTTTGATAAAAAGCGGCCTCAATCCTTCATCATCCTTGCTGCTGCCGCCGCCGCTGCCGCTGCTGTTGCTCTCTCCTCTCTCAGCATCCGCGGTTGGCAACGTGTATAAAGAAGACGTGAGACGTCTCAAAAATCTTCTTTATACACGTCGCCGCTGCTGCTGTTGCTGCTCTCTCCTCTCTCAGCATCCGCGGTTGGCAACGTGGGCCTCTCACTACCAAGTCTGCTGCCGCCCACACCGATGGCAAGGCAGCGCAGGCAGCTCCATTCCGCACGCACCTCCTTCAGCGGCAAGCCATGCCTCACTGTGAGCGTCTCCAATGTTGGCGCGATGCTGCTGAGTAACCGTGTCAAGGAGAGCTGTGTGGCATCCAACACACGCTGAGAGGTGGCCTCAAAGTAATCACCATCGTAGCCTCTTGCACCGAAATCGCCGCCTCTTGCATCGTAATCGTAGCCTCTTGCAACAAAGCCGTACATCTCTCGCGCATGCAATCTGGACCGCACGCCGGTGGTTGGCCCGTTCAAAAAGACATCTTTGGCGGAATCCAATGGGAGAGAAGACACGATAAGCTGTGTGCGGCCAATCAGAGCGAGCGAGTCGAGAGAGAGAGGAGGCTGGAGCACTCGCAATTCATCTCCAGTGCCGCTGCTGTGACGGTGAACTCCTTCAAGCAGGCAGGGAGGGCGAAGCGAAGGTTAAGCCGTTGATATTCGAATCTGATTGCAATGACTCGAGCAGCAGTGAACTCGAGACTGATTTCGGTGAGGCGGCACGGGCGGCTGGTCTTGGAGGAAAGAGACAACTCGTGCAGCTGTGGTGTAATTGCCGAGAGAAATGCCAGATCTTGGCTGGTGCACTCGAAATAGTCAATGGTCAGATTCCTCAGCGCCTTAAACCAAGCAGCTTCCAGGTGGCCTATGAGCCACTCTCCACGACCGAGAGTCAGCTGCTGCAAATGGTCAAAACTCCTGAGAAACGCCGGATTGATCACCCTCGGTTGGATTGGCGATTCATAGTCATAGGCATCCATGAACCCAAGGCGCAGGCTCGTGAGGGTGTATGGAGACGATTCCATGAGCCTGCAGAGGCTCTGCAGATCCTGCAAGCTCCTGAAAGTGAGATCAAGGGACCTGTAACCTGGGAATCCGAGGACGAAGGAGATCGTTTCTGTCCATTGGGTTTGCTCACTGTCGTATGCAAGAGAGATGGGCTTCAGTTCCTGCACGCACAGAGACTCTCTGATGGAATTAGCACGGAATAATTAGCTTGGCAAGGGGAGAACTATTTGAGAATTCTGAAACGGCACAGGGAGAACCAGCTCTCGTGTCAGATGACAGAGCACTTGGAAAGCAACAGAGTTTTGCGACGTCTTAAAACTAGAACAGCCAGCTCTGCAGTCAGATGACAGAGGACTTGGAAAGCAACAGCTCAGCAGCATCCTAGACATACCGATCCATGAGATTAACTACAAACTATGTGTTACAGGGTCTTCTACGTGTGAGTGAAAAATCAGCACATGATGACTTACGGAGAAGGAGATGAGATGGCCAAGGAGTCTCTTGCTGGCCATGGCGCATCGCAGCAGAGGCCAGAAGGAGCCGAAGCGCCTCGTGTTCTCCTGATGCTGCACTTGGGGGAAAAACGTGGGCTGCTAAGAGCACATGATGGACATGATGGACTGGCGCTGCCTGCTGCCTGGAAATCCTCCGATTCCGAGTCGTCGAATAAAATCTCCAACGTCTCGACCCGGGTTGACTCGAACGCCACGTCGGATGAGATCTCGAAAGTCTCGACCCGACCCAGCAGCTGAGGGGAACCGGAAGTGCCTGGCGGAAGCAGCAGGAGGCGGAAGATGATGTGCCAGATGGGGCCGGGCAGCAGATCAACCACGTCCACGCCGCTCTGGTGTGTGGGTGGGGAGAGAGAATTCCTTATAAAGAGGATGATGCGATATGCTGCGACGAGAGAATGAGATCATCTGGGTATCATGATGTGATGGTTCGGCAGGCTATGGCATGTCTCTCACCTCGAGAAGAGTCGCAGCATGAGTGGAGGGTTCTATAGCCTTGGGAGCATGAGCATACCCCTTCTCAGTACCTCATTCCCTTGGTTAGCCATCGGCAGCGGCAATAACCTACGCGATGGATGTTTAAGAGACTCAAAAACAGAGGTTCTCGATAAGCCAAGACTACAATATCTCCAGCGAACCTCGTTGCCATTCCAGAAATGTGTGGCTCCTGACTGTAATTCGAATAGTCGCCGTTCTTACCCATGTCGTTCGTTCTTGGTGAGCGGAGACTATTGTCGATTTGGGGTGTTTCGCAGGCTTGGGTTGGGTTGTGGTGGGTGGAGAGTGCGTGGCGTAGTATTGTGGTTTCGCCTGCAGAAAATGAGCTGTCGGGAAAACCTCTGTTGACCAGTTCTGGAGGTTGTTCCTTTCCACTGCTTCGTCCGACCAGGCCCGGTTGGACCAGTGAGAACTTGCGTCTCTCTTTCTTTGCCTTGGGCGATGGGAAGCCACACTCGAACGCGGGAAACGAGAGCAACCAGCCACAGTTCTAGATTGCAAGCCGCCTGAACTGACCAAACCGATCTGTATCTCCATTTCATTCGATTCCTATTCCAAGCTTAGGCACTAATTACCTAGGTCTTGGAAATCAGTTGCTAATGAAGCAGCTTCAGCCTGGGAATCAGGCTCATACGTGCTTATCTCGTCTCCAATCTTTAATTATGCAACATGGAGCATGAAATCATTAATCCGTGGTGACACTTCTTGGATATAATAAATACCGTAGTTGTGTGATTCCAAACGTGCACATAAATTAGCCGTGTGATACTCTGCACTGCATATCATATGCAGTCACGGCCGGAGTGGCATATACTGAGAGATTCTGTGAGCATACAGGAGCATGCAACTAGCTCAGGGGGTTGGTCTTGTTTTATTATTTTGTGGTAGCATGAACAAGCAAAAAGGACCAGAGATGGAAAGAAAGGGGCAAGAAAAGAGAAGACAAAAGAAGTGCGAAAACAGAAGAAAGTATACCTGTGATACTACATTAGCTGGAGGCAGGCTCCCAACTGAAACTGCTCTCATTCCCCTCTACACACACCTAAGATCCCCATCCCATCTTTATTAAAAAAAGCCTGCTCTCCCCAATAACCCATAACCCCTCCTCCCTCCAAATTAACTTCCTCTTCCCTCCTCCCCAAGTATTTACCAAGAAAGGCTGCTTTCAACATCGCACCAAAGCATCGCTCATTCCTTTATTCTCTCTCGACCTGCCGTGGCACCAGCAGTGCCAACGTTGCCTTCTGAAGAAACGGCGAACGTACCCACAATCGCCTCTCAATCGCCTTCGCCATACTGCGTACAAGGCCATCCAGCAGCTGCTACAGCCAGCAGAGACGCTAGGCGAGTCATCTTCACCCACGCAACTCGCCAATCAGGCACCCGCTCTTCTCGACTTGAGCCGCGCTTGTCCCACGCACTTATGCCGTACGGACATCCCACCTCGCTGTTTCCCATGATCCATACGCCGTCGTGCGCAACGTTTCCAACACGCCAATTCTTTTCCGCCCTCATCATTTCGCCTGGCGCCAATCATCCCTCCAATCCCCTCCCCCAACCTTCCCCTGCCCATCATCAGGCCGCCCGCGCTTTTTGCGCCGTGTCGAAAAGCCCCGCGACGCCGGCCGCTCCGCCCGCGCTCGCCATGAGACGACACGCGGCAGGCTGGAAGGGCGGTGCTAGGAGCGACGCGGAGAAGAGCAGCGAGGGGCAGCGCGCCGTGATGTCGAGCCGCCGCACCGCCTTCTGGTTCAGCCACGGGTGCTCCAGCACCTCGAACGAGCTCAGCCGTTGATCCGGGTTCACGTGCAGCATCCGACGGACGAGATTCTTTGCGTCGGCGGAGATGCCTTTCCAACTGGGCGACACGAAGTTAATCGGCAGCGAATCGTGAAGCGCGAGCGTCGCCGAATCGACGGCCGGAAGTCGCCCCGTTAGAATAGCGCACAGCGTGATTCCGAGGCTCCACACGTCAGCCTTCAACCCGTACGAGCCCCCTTTACTGTCACATCGGGCAACGCCGGTCCCTCCAGTGGCGGCAGCAGCAGCGCCAGCGGCTGCGGCGGCTGCGGCGGCGGCGGCGGCCTGGTCCATTTCCGGCGCCATGTACTGCCGCGTGCCCGCGCCGAGGTCCGCCTTCTTTCCGTTGAGACCACCTTTAACGACCGTCGACAGCGCGAAGTCAGCGAGCTTCACTCCCCAGATTCGCCGCCCCGCTCCCACGTGCGTCGCCGCGATTGACGGCGGAAGGTACGCGCTCCAGGATTGAGTTTGCTGAGCCTTTCCCGGCCCACCGGGAGGAGCTGCGACGGTTTTGTTCGTCCCTGGTAGCTTGGATGAATTCGTCGCAGCAGTCGCACGGGGGAGATTCGTAATGTCGCCCAGCGGCTGTCGCTTCTTCGCCCGGGCTTTTCCGTCTCCAGTATCTCCCGTCGCACGTACCGTCGCACGCTCCACCGCGTCCGCAATTTCCGGCGCGTTTTCCGGCGGGCGAACAAGCAACACATTGTCCGGCTTGATATCCCGATGCATCACACCCGACGCGTGACAGTACGCGACGGCCGACGCAATCTGCCGGAAAACCGTCGCGGCGAGCGGCTCGGCAAGCGGACCGCGCTGCATCACCTCCGATAGAAGGTCGCCGCCCGGTACAAGCTCCATCATTACATGCACCTCCGCCGCGGCGGCATCGACGATGAAATCCACGAGGCGCACCACGTTGGGGTGGTCGCCCACCATCTCGAGCGCGCGCACCTCCGCGCGGATGTCGATGATGGCGGAGTGCGACAAAGGGAAAGTCTTGCACGCCACGCGCGGCGCGCCGGGGGCCGCGGTGACGTCCTCGCACTCCCACACGCTGCCCTGCGAGCCCTTGCCCAGTTTCCGGATGCGGCGGTACCGCCCGCCAATCAGCTCGCTTATTGTCGTGTCGGCAGTCGGGCTCCCCGCGGGACTGCCCTCCGGCCCCGGCGGCGCGGGGCTCATTGTTGGCGGTAATGTGTCTCGCGCCGCGGTTGCGGTGCCTCGAAGTGATGGAGATTTCAGAAGAGGATGATGATGAGCAGAGCAGGTATGACCTCAGTAGAAGCCCCAGGAAACGAAGCAGCTTCCTGGAGGAAAGGAAGCTTTTTAAATAAGCGAAACAACGAGGGCACCTTGAGGTGCTTCCGCACGTCTAATCTTGGCAGCTCGTAGTGGAATTCGGTAGAGAATTATCGCACTTCAACGTCTCCTTGAAAATGATCGCAGTGTGATTGACTTCTCAGAGAGCCCAGGGCCGACAATTATCGAGCAAGCGCTCTTCAGGAAGCTGGATGTGATAGACGCACGAGATTCTTGGCGGAATAATGGTTGCGCTGGCGCAACGCGAAAGTTGAGTCCCAGTAACTTGAAAGGAACTGGTAGGAGCTCTTTTGGAAACAGAACAAGAGTGAGACGGGAAGGAAGACGGGAGAGCAAAGAAGGAATGGGAGAGCGACAGCAAGGTGGATGAGATTCAAAATGCGCGTTCGTCGAGTCGCAAACCAATTCATGGCACAGCTGAAGCTGCCCGTCGTTGCCAAATATTAATGGATTTGCAGAAACGTACACTCCATGTTTCAGGGAAACCATACTAAACCCAATCAAAAGCTTGTATTTGCACTTCGTTGTTCTGCCCAGAAAACAATCATGGGGACCCCCAGCTGGAACTGGAATGGGGAATTATTGATGCGCGAAATTATTGGCGCACCTACATGCGACGTCAACCGAAGGACGACGTTCGATTGATAAACTGGATCATGGTGAGACTCGGTAAGACTATCAGACTGTTAAGCCGGACCAACACATATTTATCACGTTAGTACTTTTAGGCATCACATCGAATTACCTGCATCAGCACCACATTTTTTACAAGTAATAGCATTATCGCTAAAATATTAAAAAAAATTACCAGCAGTATAGTGTACAGTTATCTAATGATTGCGTTTGTAGATTAACATTACCTCATGATTACTTACTACTATAACAAAGAGCTAAACAGTAGCATCGCCAAGATGTGATAGGCTGTTATGAATTAACTTGCAGAGTGCGCAGTAAAACGAATAACGAGAATGACTGATTACTGAATTACTGAATCCCGATACAATGGAAGTGACGAGGCCTAAATAGGGGAAGTCCTAGCAAGACGAAGAGGTTGGGCGAGGATGGCTCGGTGATGGATGCGATTGGTGCGGAGGCGAGTCGGGGGTGGTTCGGTGCGACGAAATAGGAAGGACAGGTTCGACGCGTGACCCTCGAGATGACCTCAATAAAGAGTGCCTCAGTAAGGATTTGTAAATCCTTACACTCTCCCACCTTCTAAATAAGGAAGCCTTGTACTGAAAACAGACCCCACACTAGCAAGGATGCCGTCGATCTCCTCTTCAGCTGAATCCGACGGCTGAAATGCCTTTGACAATATTTTGAAAAGGTTGGAATGTAGGCCGTTGATGAAGTCCAATTTCGATCTGACGGTCAACGATGAACTGACCCAAATTGGAAGTAGACGCTGGAATGTGGGCCGTCGATTGAGTAAGTGCGAATCTGACGGTCGAAGCAGATGCGATTTTGGAGGGAACAGACTGACGCGAAATTCAATCACGATCAATTTGGAGCCGTCGATCTTGTCGGTGTAATCTCGATCGTCCGTCGTGCTGACGCAACCTGACAAAGGTCAAGAAGAAAGCTGAGAAAACGCCAAGGAAAGAAACAGTGCCGAGCACTTTCTCCCCCCCCCCCCCCCCCCTCCCTCCAAGAAAACACACCAGAAAATGTTTCACCGCTGCGCCGAGAAGAAAACCACCAAAACCAGGTGTTAAACCCCTATGAAACCAGATGAGATTGCGTCGGTGTCGAAACTCGATGACGAAACCAGGTGCAAAGTGCCCAAGGGCGAACCAGCATATGTAGCCCGGAAACCGCGTCGGAAAATCCATGTTACTCGAACTGAACATTTTTGTCAACAATTCGCCAGAATCAGGCGATATCTTCAGAAGTTGCAGCTGGCAGCAGTTGAAATCGAATCGTTTGCTATGGGCGGGTCGAGTTGAGCGGGTTGTCGTTAGTAGAGTTGGAATGGAGCGTCCTGAAATCATCTGGCCGTGAAATCAGGGGTGGTACGAAATTGTCGGCGATGAATACGATTAGTGCGAAGTCGAAAACGAGACTCGACGAAGGTCGTCGAAGCAGTAACCAATTGCGAATGTCATTCCGAAAATGTTGTCGAGCGCCAGTCCAGTGTGTCAGATGATGTCAGCACCTCCAGCGGTTTTGTCCAGATTCGTTGAGAAGTTTGTCGCAATGCGCCGAGGGCTCCTGGGCAGAGATGAAAAATTGCAGCTGTCTCTCCCCCCCCCTTTCACTGATGCTGCCGCCTTCTTCAGTTCGTCGTAAGTCGTTCGTACCCCTTGAAAGTCCCTTTAAATCTCGCGGTGTTGCCCCACTTCGTTGCCGCGCGCGTTTAACCAAAACGCCGCAACTCCTCCGAAATTGTCGGTGCTCCTCGCCGTAAAACCAGTAAGTCCCCACGTAAAAACTCCGAAATTGTCGCTCGAATCAAACCCCGTAAATCCGCATTTGCAGGTGCAGTCCTCCTCCGAAAATCTCGAACGTGCTATAGCCGCCCACTCGGTCACCATCTGTTTCCGTCGGTTACCCGACCCCAGCATGTGGGTTCAATCGAGAACCGGGGACTGCCCCTGGGTTTTTCCGAGACCGAATTTCACGGAACCTAGTGGCATCAACGCCGTTGACTCCGTTGTCGAGGCTGCTACCGCCGATGCTGCTTAACAAAATACCTTGTTTCTCCCACCAGCGCATATGTTTCACCGCATCGCTCGTCGCCGGTCGACTGCTCCCGAAGCTACGACTGCTCCCACGCTCCCTTTTTTCTGAAGAATTTCCCGAGGTGTGCGTTTAAACACCGGGGGTCCTAGGTCTCCTTGCCGCTGTGTTTCTTGCCAGGCTACTTCGATAAGTGCCCTTCAGGCGAGGTCCCCCAACGGCTCAATCGCACTCCAAGAAGCGAAGAAATACCCGCAGCTTCATATTTTTTGTCGTTTCACCCCCCGATAATTCCGCTTCCCGCCGTTCACCCAGCGTCCGCTTTTGTCGGGTGGGGTATAGTCGGTGTTGCCCGCGCGAACCCATCTAGGATGGAGGGGAAAAAACTATCGGAGTCGGGGACCCTTATTTAAAAGGAACTGTCGCCCAACCGTTTTGCAGCCCACCGCAAACGTCGCGCCACTAAACTCCACAGATCCCGGTCCCGCTTCGCCGCTGCGCCGTCACCTCGTGTAGACGCCCGGGTTAGGAGAAACCAGCGAACTGCACCATTGTTGTCATGCGGCGGCCGGATTTTTTCGCGTGCTGTTCCACCCAGCTCGCTTTTGTCGGAGCGGAACAGTGCGGCAACTCTCTTTTTTTGTCTTTTCTGTACAGCTGTCGAACGGGCACCAAACTAGATGCTTTTAACCAGCGCAGGGTAGGCTCGTGTTCACCCCCGTTATTCATCCGAATAAGGTCGACTGCATGAGTCGGAACCAGTAATCGGTGGGGATGGTGAGGTTCGGGCGTAGTAGGGCCGTAGATCGGTCCCACCGGCTTTTATCTGCTCCCCTCGACGTTCTTCAACCCCCGCTTAGCGGTTGGGCAGTCTCTTTTCGCGTGTCCCGGCGGCCTGCACCACACTCCGAAATTGTCGGGGTAGCACCTTGAACACCGTTTAATCGTGGGCTGCTGCGGCTGTCCCTGAAATCGGCTTCCTTGAACGGGGAAACCGATCTCGAAACTGTCGAACAGCTGGCAAGCAACTCCAGGCACACAGCAACAAACGAGTATTTTTCGGGTGTTCAGTCCTTATATGCCCTCGTGCCTGCGCCCCACTCCTACTAAGTGCGATTTAGCCACGTCGTTGTCTGTTGCCGCCCGCAAGTGTCGGCGGGTCCAAAGTTACCGTCTGTCCACAAGCACTTCTGCCGAAAATCGTCGACGACTCGCCCGCTAGTACGGTAAGCGCCGTACTATCTAGTCGGACGGGATGAAACTCAACCCCTGCTTAATTCAGGCGGCTTGAGCGTCTATCTCTCCCAGCCGTCGGGATCCTCTGACGCAAAACTCCATTTGCGCCTGGCGAGTTCTTCGAGCTGCCCTTTTCTTCACAGTCGAAACCTCCGAAAATCTCGCGCGCACGTTGACGAACAACCACGCCAACTACCGCACCAGACGACGACTCCGAAATCTTCGTGGATATGCCGACGCAAGACAGGTGCCACACGAAAATCAACTCCGAAAGCGTCGGAACGCAGCGGAAATAATTCACGTTAAATGTCGCGACAGCTCCAGCTGTCCATTGCCCGGGGGGAGGGAGGTCACGGTCGATCGCGACCGTTCGAGGCAAGGATCCGGCGGTGCCGAAGAGTGCACGATAAATTCATGGCCGCGAAGAGCAACTAACCCGTTCTCTTGGCCGGCCTAGGCAACTCCTGGACCCCAGGACCAGGCCCCTAGATTCGTTTTGAGGTAGTCTGACGCCTCAGAGTACACCCCTCTTCCTAGTCTGGCTGTCAGAGTTACCTATTTCTTTTAGTCTGAAAATTCAGACACGCACAACTTCTTTTGTCTGAAATGTCTGTGGAAATAAATGACCAGGAATGGAAATGACTAAACCAGTGTTGGGTACAAATACAACCCTAGAAAGCTGTACCCCATATGTGCTACCCCACTATAGCCTACAAACATGTATCAGCTATAATAATCTGACACACCCCCATAGGCAAAGTGGGGGAGAACAAGGGGTCACAAGACCAGTCAAGCAAAGCAAAGCAAAGCAAGCTCAGGGTGGATCACAAAGTCACCACACAGTCCGAGCACAAGAGCACGGCCAGAGGCCAGTTCACATGCAGGAGTACAGACATATATATAAAACTAGACAAGCAGGAGCAGGTATATATATGTCACAGTACAAG